TGGCTCTCAAGGTCAGAACATGGCCACCTGCTGGGTACAGTGGTGAATGCCTGTAACCTCAGCAGCCTGGCAGGCTGAGGCAAGAGAGTCCCAAGATCAAGTCCAGCCCGGGCAGCTTAGTGATTTAAAAAAGGCTGGAGTTGGGGCATAGTAGGAAGACCCTGTGATCAATAGCTAGCTCAGCCAGTATCCCAGGGACACTGGGGTGGCCAGAGGCAGTGACAGAGCCAGGTAGGGAGTGACAGGAGAAACTGGGGTACGTGTAATAAGCAGCCATCGGAGAGGCTGGGTCAGCCTTATAGTCATAATGAGTACTTAACCTCCTAGACATTGTTTGCTATTGTAGTGTGTAAAAGATGTCAAAAGTTAAAACAACGCTGGTCCCAATGCCTGTTCTTATGATAAGAACACTGAATCTAAACGATTTTTGGACGCTGAGAGTGCCATCTGGCAGTAGATTTGCTGCTGGATCAGTTTTTGTTTATTAAAAATCATGAACATGTTTCATTTACCACGTCTTGGCAAGTACTCTTGGCACTGGCTGAGTGTACTCTTTAATAATTTGTAGATTGAGAGGATCCAGAATCCAGATCTCTGGTATTGCTACCAGGCAAAGAAAAAAGCCATGAATGCCAAGAATGGCCAGCGCATCAATGAGAAGCTTCTCTTCCACGGGACAGACGTCGGCTCGCTGCCTCACGTCAACAGGAATGGGTTTAACCGCAGTTATGCGGGCAGGAATGGTAAGAAAGCAGGAGATGCGGCTGCCCAAAAGGGGTGCCAGCCGTGAGGGCCAGCGGTGGCAAGGAACACTGCGGATGTTCTGTGTTCCCACAGTGGGTGGTCAGGTTGCAGCCCAGGTTTCAGGGTAGGACTCACTGAATTTCATCCCAGAATGGCCTGCCACACTCAGTGCTTAAATCTAACACCAATTGCCTTATTTGACATGTTGGGCTAAATTGAAATTCCTAAAAGTGTTTTGTTTTTCTCTTCACAGCTATGGCATTTGGAAAGGGAACCTATTTTGCTGTCAATGCCAATTATTCTGCCAGTGACACATACTCAAGCCCAGATCCACGTGGGAGAAAGCATATGTATTACGTGCGAGTACTCACTGGAAAGTACACACAGGGGAACAGCTCATTGATTGTGCCTCCTTCAAGGGACCCTCAAAATCCTACTGACCAGTATGACACAGTCACAGATAATGCGAAGAACCCAACTATATTTATGGTATTTTATGACTACCAAGCATACCCGGAGTACCTCATCACTTTCAGATGTTAACTTTTTGGTTTTCTTCCTGAGACATCATATGTAACTCCTGGGAAACAGGTTCGCCCCACCCCACTGCTAACCACTTTTTCCAAGACCAGAACATCCCTTTTCCTTTTCCTCCTCCACCCTTCTTTGCCATGGTGGGGATCAAACCAGGGCCCTGTGCATGCCAGCCGAGCACAGCACCACCGAGCTCTACCCTCAGCCTGAAAGGTCCTCCTTTGTCACTGAAATCAACTTCCCTCAGCCTTTTCTTGGAACCTATCTTGAGAACAAATAAATTTGAGAATATGAGATAACAAAAGTTTATAGCTGTGTAGCCACAAGCTTGTGGACATCAAATCTGTGGGACAAGAACAGGTTTATATTTTCAGGAGGGACAGACTAGCAGTCTTACTGGCAGAAAGGCACAGTCACGCAGTTCTAGCTGGTACTGGTGCCGGTGGGAATCATGTCAGGATGCCCTCGTGCTGCAGGGGCACGAAGGGTAGGGCTGCCACCTTCCCTGAACAAGGATGGGCCTGACTGATGTTTCTGTCCTGGGGTTGAAGTCTGCGCCTGTGATACAGATATTCCACGAATGTTTGCTAAGCCAGTTAAGAATGAAACAGCCTGATTAGATCGCTAACAGCAGAGTCATCTCCGACATCCCTGGCTTCTTTGCCTCCAGTTGAACGTATTCCTTGACGGGAACCTGTTTCTTCACACAGCAGACCATGCCATGGAGCTGGGCAGCTGCAGCCAGGCCTCTGGGACCACAGCGCACTTGCAGCCTACACAGGCCGGACACTGGGACTTAGCTCAGGGTCTGGGTGAACTGTGTCCGCTGGAGCTGTGTGGCAGCCAGGTTGTTTCTAACGTTAAACCCAAACCCATTGTTTTCCACTGCCCAGTGAAAACAATGGGGCAAGGGGTTTTCAGTGGAAACCTACTGTGCTTGCAATTAAGGAACACTAAGGCTGTTAAATAGCTTATTTCCTAAAAGTCAGATCAAGAGGAAAAAAAGAGAAAGGCCCGGGATATAGTTCAGCAGTACAGTGCCTGCCTGAAAAGCTTAAGGTCTGAGTTCAATTTCCAGTACCCAAAAAAGAGAAAAATACTTCTTGTAATCCAACACGGACAGTGTATCTAAAAATGTTACCCATCATTTCTAAAAAGAAAAAAAAAAAAGCGCGAATAATTTCCAAAAAATACCATAGCAGCCTAGCTTTTGATAAGCTTTTAAAACTCTGTGCATAAGTTTTTAAAACCAAATCTGCTAATCTGTTAATTGCTAATGCAGCAATTTTTTTTCATACTCTGGTAAATTTCAGGTTCAGACAACACATTGAGGACCTGGACTGTACCAGGTGACACAGTAGGTGCTTCACATACATGACTCGCACTAACAGCCCTGTGAGGTGAGAATTCTGTGCACATTTTCAGGCTGAGGAAACATGCTCAGAACTCAAGTTTCCTTGCCTAGCACCACTTAGGGGACAACCCTGCAGCTGACAGCAGGCTCCTGGCTGCACTGCAAGCATAAGCTCCTCACCAGAGAATACGGCCTCCAGAGAACGTCGCGGCTTTAGGACTGTCTCATGTACTCTGCAGGACACTTCCCTGTTCCTTTTCTCCTTCTGGCTTCGCTTTAAAAAAATTATATATATCTATATATCTATATCTATATCTATATCTATATCTATATCTATATATATAATTTAAAAGAATATAATAAAAATGGTAATTTCAAAACAAGATAACAGGAGATTAACAATGGATCATTTTTTTATGTCTCTGTCTTGTCATCTGAGCGACTACTGCGAAGATAACAATGCCGGCTTCGTTTTCGGTTGGTCTCATTTGAAATTCCATAAACCCAGAAGCCAGAGCTGGTTCTGATGCGAAGCCGGCGCGGAAGGCGCAGTCGGACGCTAGGGGGCGCCGGAGGACAGATGCGCTCGCCCTCCCTGCCCGCTGGGAAGGAGAGGAGCAGGCCCAGAGGATGGACGCCTGGTCCTGACACTGCTCCTGCTGCTGCTGCTGCTGTTGGTTTATAAGAGGCCTGCTCAGGTCTTGTTGGCTAGTGTGGCTTCCTAACCACTGGCCTCTGAGTTAGGCACGAACACTGAAGCTGTGGAATTAGAATAAAAAGAGAACGTTGCTCTGATTTGCTTTGGTTCTGCAGTGGTTTGGCTGACTCAGGGCAAGGCTGATAGGAAGATGTTCTGCACTGAGGAATACAGACCCAGTCAGTAAATAGTACAGTCCTCTTTGATCTAAAGAAACGTCAAGCAGGTCATTTTCCTCCTTTTTCAGGAAAAATTAACAATATCACTTTTAGTCAAAACTTATTTTTATCTTAAAGATCAAATACACAGGAAGCCTAACGATGAGCAGCGGCCACTGTTGATGAAAAGTACACGAGACAGCAACAAGCACTTAGAGAACCAGCACTCACTAGGAATCTTCAGGAAGGGGCACAGTATAGCTGGAGTTAGTACATCTGGAGGAAAAATGGACCCCAGCACGGAGCCTTTGCTGAACCAGCCCACTTGGAGCCTGGGCAGGCTTGGCAGGCAGGCCAGAGCTGTGGCAGCTGTGGTACCCAAGGCAGTGCAGGCTGCCAGGGGGGCACGTGCAGGTGAGACTCCGGCTGCCCAGGGTGGCCTTCCTGGGCCTTGAGGGCCTGGCTCACAGTAGATGTTAGCCTCTGCTGCCCCTTGCTGCCCATCTGTAACTCGTAAACCTGCTTTGTATAACTTGTGCACTTGGGTGTTGTCTCAGGGGACTCGAGACAAGTTGGTAATCAGTACAGAGCAGATCTGCTTCAAGGTGAGCTAGTGACAAGTGTCCCGGAAGAGCCCTTTTTGGTTCTTCCTTTCCCTGGGCAAGCTCACATAACAGCATGCCCTCCTCCTAGAAGTCACACCTTTTCTTTGGACTTACTGACACCTAAGGGAGGGGCAGGTAGTCAATTCATTTCAAAAGGAGACTTCCTGTCTTCCATTGTGTTTGTCAAGCATGGTAACTCAGAGGTCAGTATGCTTTTTGAATTTCTAAATTCTTGGACAGTCATGGTAATTGTCCCCAGGTTTGGAAAATGCAATCAGAGTGGGACTGATTTTGCTAAATTAAGCTATCTGTCTTTGTCTGAGGATCAGGAGCCCCTGGTCCTTTCTAGTCCCAGGACTGCTCTCCGACATGCCCAGCTCTTCCCACAGGAAGTGCTCACATGAGAAGCCCACCTGCTGATCCGTGTCTTGTTGTAGATGACAGGAGTTCACCAGTGAGAATTCTGCTGGTGTTAGACATGGATCACCTTAGATCCAGGCTGGACTCCGTCCACTCATCTTTCAGACCAGCTGTCAACCAACTCTTTCTGTTAAGGGAGAGTGAATTTCTTTCTTGGCTTTCTGAGCCACGCAGTCTCTTGATCTAGATTCAACTTTGTCAGTATGATCCTAAAGCTGTCACAGGCACTATGAGGTGAACTCTGGGTGTGTTCCCAGGAAACCTGATTTACAAGACCAAGCAGCAGCAGGTCCAGCCCTGTTCAGAGCTGATGGAGAGAGTGCTTGCTTGGGGACACCTGGGGCTTACAGGTGTCACAGTCTGTAAGCCGGACGGCAGCAGGACGAAGGCTGAGGGGGAAAGCAGTGTTCACAGAAGGAGATGGCAACAGACTTGGAACTTCATCAGGTACAAGATAAACATGCAAACTGACCTTTGGCTGTTATACCTTTTATTTTAAATCATACTATAGTTTACAAATACATTTTTAAGATGTTATTAAAAATTCGCCTTCTATGAGAATCATAAGCTTTTCCCTTGTATCAAAAGCTGTGCCACCATCCTGATCACTTGTGGATTCACTAAACAGTCCAGCAAATCATCGGTAGAAATGAGCGCTTGAGACAGGCCGGGAGCACTACCCGCAGCAGCCTGTCCCCCTGTCGCGTTTCCGTCCTCACTCATCATTTGTGGCCTCTGGGGACAGCAGGATTTGGCAAAGTGTTTCTCATCTTTGTCAGCCAGCTCTTTACTGTCATTTTCAAATACGCCACCTCTGTGTGCAGGGGGCTCTTCAGGAGCTGGCAGTACAGGGCAGAGGTCGGGGCCAAAGCCGCTCGCCGCAGCCCGCTTTCCGGCTCCCGGGCCTTGGCTGCGGCTGCGTGTCTGGTCCACCTCGGGGTGGCTGCACACGTGTGATCCTTCCTTCTCCACGCTTCCCCCATTTGCTTCCAGCACGTCGTCTTCTCCTGCCTTTGGGGTTCTGGAATGACTGAAAAAGGCAGAAATGGCTCCATTTAAGTAGCTACAGTTGACTGCATGAGAGGTTGCTTCAACCTAAGGGAAAAGACACGCTCGTTGGAATGGCCGTCCCCACCAAGTTAAGCTGAAACAAGGGCTCTGGTTGGGGAAGCTTTACCACAGGAAGCCACTGCCATGATAAATACCTCAGTGGGGTTTAACCAAGCCCGGGTATCGTGGGGGTCCTCGGATGTTTTCAGAGCACACACAAGCGTACGAGTGATTGCCTCTTCCACGCGGGCTAGGTGGTCCTCCTCCTATATTGAGATTTAAAAGAACACACACTTTTAGCCTTTGTCTTCGGGTTTCATGCGTCAAAACAGAGAACTCTGTGTCTTCTGATTGTGTGTCCCACTCAATAATATATGCTTTGTTATAAGGGGAATGAGTAAGCTATTGGCAGGATGGTAATTATTTTTTCTTTTTTTTTTTTTTTTTTTTGGTATTGGAGATCAAACTCATGACCTTGTGCTTGCCCAGCAGGCACTTGTGCTGCTGAGCTAAATCCTTGGCCCTTACAATGATAGTTTCTATGTATTCACTGTTATCTGTCATCTAGAAGAGACACAATATTTCATCAACCATATTAAATATGTATTTTATCTATAGAACACTGCCCTCAAGTATGAACCACTTTGTGATTTGTTTTGATAGGTTTTAAGTTTCAACAAGCACCACATACAGAAAAGCAATCCTTACAGAGTTTGGAAGGCAACTTATTTGAAGGGGAAAAATTATAGCAAACATGCTTGACTACAAGAATGAAGATAAGCTTTCTTAACATAAGCACAAACTGTAGCTCTAATGATAAACGACATTAAAATCAACAACTATTAGATAACACAATGAGAAACAAACTAAAACGCTGTAACAAACATGATTGATCAAAGATTAACATCGAAAATAAAGAATCTGAACCTGACAATAAGACAAATACGAGTAAAGGTCTGCATGGCAGAGATCTTCAAATACTTACAAAGAACAAAACATGCAGTTTTACAAACAACAGATGGGCTAAAAGCAGGCAGATGACAGCACCACTGTTTAACACCCACGAGCTCCCTCGGGAGGGGAAGCCTCTGTCAGGGCTACTGCAGGGGTGACTGTGGTGCTGGTGGACAAAGGGACTCCGTGGATGCCCCCCAGCATCAGTTCCAGGTCAGCCTCCTCCAAGCAGTATTTCTACCCGCGAGGCTCCCATCTCCCCCTGCACGCTCACCTACCCCTCAAAGGCTACGCCTCCTCTCTCTAGGCGCACACTTACGGCTTCTACTGTACTCCTCCTGACATCCCACCTATTCCAAAGCCCTTCTCAATAACACAGAACAGGAAACCGCTGACTGAGAGGGGTGCAGCTGCCAAAGAACAGAGAGATGCCAGGTTAGGACAGCAGAGATGCAGCCAGGGTTTGGGGCTAACAAGGGCACTGGCACACTCCAAGCTGCTGGTTACAGTGACAGACATGGCCATAATAGGCGGAAGCTGTCACTGTCAAATGCAGCAGGCAGCCACAATTAGGCACATTGTATTGGTGGGGAAAGGTTTCTGGCACACATAAATGCTGCAAACCAAGTGCCCTAAGAAAATGTATAAAGCAACACTGAGATTCTGCACCTAACGAGGTCCCTGAACCAGGAAGTGGCTAAGCAGACCTTTAGTTACAAACTCACTGCGTTCCCAAGGGTTTGTTGTAACTCAAATTGTCAACTAAAGGCTCAGCCTCCTCTATACAGCCTTCAAACCTCTCGCCTGTAGACAAGCAGATCTCAGTGTCCTTAGGGAGACACTGGCCCAGGAGTTCTCAACCAAACCCACCCAGGAAAGGATGCTGTGATGCTCCTTCAAGAACTCTTTCAGAGTTAAGTCTGTGTCTCAGACCATTCGGAAGCACAAATTGTCAGCATCTGTCCAAACTCAAGACTTTGGTCATAAGTTAAAACCAAAAAGCTGGTCATAACCCATACTGTGCATTTATGTCAGGCTGGTCATAATCTGAGGGTCCACTGTGTTTCTATCCAGATGGTGTGGGACAGAATTGGCAGCAATAGATCCAGCCAGACCGACACAATTTTCCTGGTAACAGTGGTCATGGAGTGGACCCAGCACTCGGTATTAGGGCCCACTGAATGTCTTTCGTTTCTCTGTTTCTTTGAGACAGGACCTTGCTGTGTAGTTTAGGCTCACAGTGACTGTCCTGCCTCAGCCTCCAAAGTCCAGGGATTGCAGGCATGCACCACCATGCCACAACTGTGTGTCCTTTAAATAAAGAGAGTGTACATCTCGGAAAATTCTATGTTCATCTGAACTATGCATCAGCAGAGGACAGAATCACAGTACAGTAAAACAATATAATCACAGTGTGCTGGTTACAGAAAATTAATCACCAAATTTTATAGACAGGCTTTGTGCATCTTAAAAGCAAGGACTTAATTTATTTTTAAAAGGAAAACAACAAAAACATACCAGCTCAATCCATGAATTTATGCTGACGGTGACAGGATCAATGGATTCCACGTAATGCCACCAGTGTCTGGGAACAAAAAGGACCTGAAAACAAAGTGGAAAAGTAGATAGGAGGAGAACATTTCATTTCTGTGTCAGAGGACGAGTTCCACTGACGCTGTCAGGGAAAAAGTAACGCGAGAAATTCACAGGAACAGTGAGGGGCCGTGATCCCCAGGACGCTGTGGAAACAGCGCACAGCGACAGCGCTGACGGGAGGGAGACGGGACAGAAGCCCGCGGACCTGCGTCTCTCCTTCTTAGTGATGAAGTCACACGGAGACGGGATCCAGCCAGGTCTCTAATCTTCTTAACTCTTGGCCTTCTCTGTCCACACTTAAATTTCAGCAGAAACCTTGAGATTCTAAGTTTTCCTGCATCCTATCACAAAACAGTTTTATGTGTTCTGTGAAGTGGCACCGGCAGAAATGGATGCATAGCTTCTGTCTTTTCACAGTCCAAAACCTAAAGATAATGTGCAGGAAGGGCGTTAGGTACGTGGTGGGTAGAGAGTTCAGTGCTCGAGGGCTCCCGGGGTGGGAGAAACAGGCCTGGGCAGGGGTTGGGAACAACCTGGAGGGTGGAGGACGACCTGAATGAAGCCAGGAGGGAGGTTAGAGGGGAGAATGAGGACACATCCCAGGGAGACGTGGCAGGGACCAACGGGCGGAGCTGCTGGGGGAGGCAGCAAGCTGGCCAGTCTCAGCGGGCCTCAGGGAGGTGGGCACGTGGAGGCCTGGAATTCAGGGTGGAGAATGTGGGTTTCATCCTGGAGGCACACAGAGTTACTGAGGAATTCTGAGGAGGAGGACGGCTAAACTGACATGGAGAGAGGGACTGGGAAGCACAGGAGAGCCTTGCAATGGCCCTTCCCATGAACGTTAAGCTATGAATGGGAAGGTTTACTAGACATGAGCACCAGGTGGGGCCAAGGAGGATGTCACCCACACGGACTCGTACCTGATCAGCAAATGGGGATGATCCGAAACTTTGGGTTTAGGAAAAGAGGGGCATTTGCTCGCACAGGGCTGGAGGTGGGAAGTTTCTTTTGGGAGAAGGAATGCTAAAGCAGCCATGGGTTTAGTCATGAAGACGCTGCTATGGTTTGGAATGATCCCCAAAGGCCCTCTGTTGAAGGTGTGATCGCCAGCTGAGGCATACTGGAAGATGCTGTAAGACACCAGCTCAAGGGTCAGAGCCACGCAACCACCACGCGAAAATCCTGAAACTGTGAGCCCAAACAAACCTTTTCTTTAACAAGCTGACTTTCTCAGGCATTTTGTCATGGTGACAGGACACTAACACAGAAGTCATGAGTGTCCTGTTGTATACTACAGTTTCAATAAAGTGGTGAGAAACAGAGAACTGTTTTGTGGTAGCTTCAAGAATGGACAAGACAAAAACAAAACAAAACAGATAGGACAGAACAAATCATCCAAATTTGCCCATTAAAGACGAAGAAACATGAACTAGTGACGAGTTCATAATGATGGAATGACTATGAGAAAATGGGAAGAGGGTCAGATGTAAAGAAACCAGAACTGTCGTATATTTCTGGGGGGAATGTCAAATGGAAGAGCCACTGTGGAAGCAGTGTGGCAATTTCTCAAAACCGTTAAATGCAGTTATCAGACAACTTACCAATTCCACTTAGGTATATACCCGACCTGAAAATATATACTCAGTTAAAAACTTGTGTATACAATAGTATCATTCCCAGTAGCTAAAAATGTATATCAGCTGATGCACGGCGAAACACACGTAGCTTAGCTGTATCATGGCATCTTTGAAAAGAACGAAGTGCTGAAAACCTTCTACAACACAGGTGGCCCTCGAAAATAATACGCTCTATGAAAGACGCCAGAGGCCCTATGCTAGATGACTGCACTTGTATTAAAGGTCCAGAACAGACAAGTCTATGGAGATGGAAAATGAACTGGGGACTGTGTGGGGCTCGGGAGGAGAGGTATGCATGGGGAGCGACTGCTGTGGGGTGAGGCAACTTGGTCAGGTCAAAGGGAGCTGGCAGTGAGGAGCGTGAAGGAGCAGGAAGGAGCCAGAGGGCAGGGGACAGGGACGGAGCAGGCAGGAGACAGGGACAAGCCAGGGAATGAAGTCTGCCTGAGGGAACAAAAGTCTTCTGACTGCTCATAAACTACCACACAGCGAATGGCAGTTTTCAAACATTTACCCCTCTGGGTAGCAGCAGGAAGCACAACACGTTTAGAAATTTTCCCCACACAGTCACCCATTCTTGCGCATTCCCACGCAGCCTGCCTCTGGTGACCCCCTTCCTGCAGCATCCCAGCCTGCGTTTACATGTCCAGGTTTGGTTGTAGCCCATCTGAGCAGATACTAACTGTGACCACACCCTGGAGACACCGCAGTAACCACGCCTGCTGCTCCCTTAACCTCCAGGAAAGCAGCCCTGTGGGCTCTTCTCATCCTTGAAGATCTATTCACCCACAGGAGAAGCTGAGTTCTCTCCGTCTCCTTCCCACGAACTGTAAACAGAGTCAGGCAGGCCACCCCCAAAAGCACAGCAGCAGGCAGCAAAATACTCTCATTTGTACAAAGGGGTAAGCATGTGGCATAAGGGACTTCAGGGAGAGGTGGCCGTGCTTCTCAGGACAGCACCGGGTATCAGTATTGTCAAGGCCATCATTACCTGGCTTGGGCTCAGTGTGACCAAATGCCTTCGAGCTTTCCGGAACCAAGGGAAACGCTTTAAATCAGGATTGACAATGCTGACTTTACTGAACACACTAGATTCTTCATAAGGGATTCTAGTTGGATAAAGGCAGGGTGCATCTTCAGGAGGAAAGAGATGCCATCTTTTCCTGACAAAAACAGATGCGAGTTAGCATTCGGAGCTTGGGATGAGATATGCACAAAGGTAGACCTACGCTCATTGTCACTCATGTAAATGCAATCCTTAGAGGAATACGGGGGCTGCCCCTGTGGTCACCTGGCCTCTCATTCAGTGCTGGAATCCCGGGAGCAGACATTGGTGGGTGCCTCGGGCAGGACTCTCTCAAGCAGCACCTTTCATCGCTGGGCAGGATTTAGTCTGTAAGGTCATTCTTTCACTGTTTCAAATCAAAGTTTTCCCCCTTATATGTTGTTTTTATCTCTGATTCTAGAGCTACCCAGAATAACCCCCACCCTTTCACGTATCTGCATTCTGATCCAGAATACAGGGTTAGCTTCTTCTCTCAAATAGCTTCTAGACTGGTTGGCTGCACTACAAATTTTTTTAATTTAAACATTTGTTAAGTTACTCTATTAAGAGAAATGCATATATAATGCCACATAATTAAAAACAGTACGACTCAGAAGTATCCAAAGGAGAAGACTGAAATGTTTCAGCTAATTAAATAGGTTCTGAAAAATGGAGGTAATAAATCTTAGTTCACAAAACACTGGACACACCTGCATTTTACACCAATTGAGGGAGGTCATCTAAGGTAGAGCGGGAAACATGTGGAGAGAGAGAGGAAGGTGAGATGAGCGAGCAAGCCCAGAGAGAGAAACAAGGTCTAGTTCTGCAGACAGAAGCCCCTGACGCTCTGGTGAGCCCAGCGCCTCCACTGCAGCTCCCAAACCATTTTCGTTTTTACCTTGTTGGTTCTAGGTCTCCTGCTTGGCAGAACCTAGTGAGTGATGCTGAGCAGGCACCAAGTCTTTGCCACCACTTGGAAATGGAGCCTCTCAGAGGCTTTCCAGGCCCAGCTTCCCACCGAGTCACAGTTTGGTGGGCTGGAGCAGATTTTTCGCCTACAAGTTTTGAGGTTAAGTCATCTGCTTTTGAACTTCAAGGCTTGTTAGCTGATGGCTACATGAACTGATAGGTTGTACATAGTTACAAAATGAATTTCGGTCATATAAAGGGCGTTTGGGATTGTGTGTGCGTGCGTGTGTGTGTGCGTGTGTGTGTGCGTGCGTGCGTGTGTGTGCGTGTGTGTGTTATGGCTCGTGTCTTGATTACCCCCAAAGCCTCATGTGCTCTTAGGTGGGGATTTTGGGAGGTGACAGTGTCTAGGGTGTGTGACGTCGGGGTTAAGAGTGTGAAGCTGGGATTAAGGGTGCCCACCATGGTGTAGGTGGCACCACCCAACAGAAAGGAGGCCCGAAGGGATCCACGGGAAAGGCAGGCTGCTTGCTGCTGTCGCCTTCTGCCTGCCTGCTCTGTCACGGACAGCACCTCAGCAATCACTGCTGCAGCTGTGCCCCTTGCTTCACAAAAGGGAAAACGGGGGGCAGGTAGAGGTCTGTCATGGGCAGCACGGCGCTGGGGCTGAGGGCTGGTGTTCTGGTGTGTCTGTCGGCCTGCATGCACGCACATGCGTCCACGCACACAAACAATGCATGTACATTACCTTCCTTGCACCTGGAAGACTAAGTTACAGCCATAGGTGTCCAGATGACAGGGGGTGTGCGCGCCGAGGGAGCCAATCCACAATGTACTCTCCTGGCCGTTCCTCCCAGGAAATCCAAAGTCAGACCACAGCACATCCTGTTTTGGAATAAAATGAAGGTCCATCAAGAACCAACTCCTTCTGTATGGAAATCTTGTACATTTTCCATTGCACATCTGATTTTGGCACTTGGATATTCTATAACAGAAAGTTCTACAGATGGAGAAGATCAGGTTTCCACGGCACTTGCACGAAATCCTTTCAACCAACAACATGTGAGAATAACCTCACTGATGGTAGTAATTCAACGAATTTTTACTACTTAACACATGCCAGCATCTGCTATAGAAGAAGTTTGTGATGAATCAGTGAACAGAATGGAAACGAAACGCTCACCTAGATGAAGCCCACATCTGCTGTGGACAGACAGTAAGTAAAACATAATTATGCAGCTACTGGGGGAAAGTATCTGGGACAGCGAGAGCCGACAGTGCAGGAAATCTCTCTGATGTCAGCTTAGGACGTTAGAAAACCATCGTCCTGGGGCTGGGGATTTAGCTCAATGGCATAAGCACCTGCCTTGCAAGCAGGCGGTTGTGAGTTCAATCCCCGGTACCGATAAAAATGAAAAAGACAAAAAAAAAAAAAAAAAAAAAAAAAAAGAAAACCATCGTCCCTTTAAGCAGAGCCAGTATTTATGGGCAGTAAATACTTTTTGTATTTCAATGACCACATAACAGAAGTCCCTCTAGACAGGCATGGTGCTGTATGTCTATAATCCTAGCATCCTGGGAGCCCGAGATGGGAGGACTGCACATCTGAACCCTGCTTGGGCATCTTAGTGAAACCTTGTCTTAAAATAAAAACAAAAACAGTTGGAGATGAAGGTCAGTTCAATCCTCAGCGTGCACACAGGTACACATGCACACACACACACACACACACACATCATCATCATCATCATCATCATCATCATCTCCTAGATGAGTGGACTTATTTTGAAACTATTGCTCCTAGAGCCTTTCCCTGGACCTACTAAGCCAGGTGAGGTGACACACACCGCTCTGAAATGCACATACTCCCCCCCCCCATACTCTGTAGTGCAGTGTATTTTAGCACAGATACGGCACAATGCCCTGGATGTGGACTCTCGGGTTAGGAGAGGCTGAAGCTGAACACTGACCACATATGTAGGGGTGAGGCAAACACTTTCTGAGAACAAAGAGTGCCAGAGGTAAGTCACGTGACCAACCTGCTTCAGTCCAGAGAACGCCAGGCCCTGAGAAAATCCTAGGCAAACGGGGTGCCACGTGACCCCAACCCGCCAAATGTGTAACCAAATGCTCTCCTCTGGTTGAGCAGTTCCAGGGTTCCACCTGACCCCAGCTTTCTGTTTCTTATCTTTATTTCTTTACCTCTCTGCCCTGCACGGTCCTCACTCCAGGAATTTCAAGACAGGCCATGGCAGATGGCCCCTGACAGGGAGCCAAGGTATAAGGAAATCTGTCATCTAGCAGGTGAGGACACCTCTAGTGTGCACACAAAAGGGAGGGAGAGTGTACTGATATCCTCAGTATTAAGTCCATCGATATCCTCACTGTTGAGCCCATCAATATTATCAATACTGAGCCCATATCAAGTGTAAATCAGGACAAACAGGTTCTCAAGAACCACAGATGTATATACAAATATTTGTTGTGTTCTTGATCCCTATATTTAGTTTCTTTTTGTGGATGTGGACTAGGAGATTATTGGGCACAAGACTGTTGGGATGACCACAAAGGATGTGGCTTGGAGCACTATTTCAAAATCAAGTCTCAAGCAGGAAAAAGATCGCAGAACAGTCATCTCAATAACCTTAACTGAGCCGCAAGTGCCAATTCTTGTCTTCACAGTTCATGGAAATCTGGCTGCACTACAAGCTGAGGTTTCCTCCCTTCATAAAATAGAGTCATCCTTTAAGTTAACTGCTCAACAACTGGCTTCTGAAAAAGTAAATAAACAGTGTAAAGACGCTTTACAAGCTCCAAAATAAGACTGTGCTGTCTGAGATGACTCAGACTTTCACCTCTCCCTGCGCAGGAGGCTGCCTTGGCGGCAGTTAGTACTCAGGTCATTCACCCACAGCCTAGAGGAGAGAGAAAGAACAAGGCTGTTCTTGCTACAGGAGCAGAGGAACCAAAGTCCTGTGGCCTGCGGTCTGTCATGCCACCCTGGCACTCAACATGGGCTGTGGGAGCTACAACTGCTTAGAGTAAAAAAAAGGGGGGCCCACGGCTGCAGAGGCACAATTGTCATGTACCCTGAGAGGGCTGGAGCACCAGCTATAGAGCCCATGCCAGGCAGCAAGGCGGGCACTGACCCTCCTCCCATCACCGCCACCCCAAAGTGTTGGCGCCAAAAGGTGAGGCCAAGGGCAAACAGCTGTCCCCTCAGGCTGAGGAGCCACTGCCCACTGGGGAGCTCACTTGTAGTACCAACAGCAAGGTGGGCGCCCTCAGAGGTGAGAAAGGTGCAGAGCCCAGGGCAGGAATGCAAGTTTATTTTCTGCACTTAAAACTGATAATGGCCCAACCTATAAGAGTGCTGCCTTTGAAAAAACACTTTGCAAAATTTTTCGTATTTCCCTTACCATGGAAATTCCTTATAATCCTCAAGGTCTAAAACTTGTTAAACATGTTCACTGTACACTCAAAACTGAATTATAAAGACAAATGGGGATTCCTTACAAAATTTATAACTTATAATAGACCTCACTGGCAGTAAATACTACTAACTTTTAAAATTCTACCAAGGAGGGAACTACAGCAACAGAAAGAAAATTCAACAAGCTAAAGCTAAAAGAAAAGAAGCTGGAAGGATCTGAGCCCACTACTCAGCTGGGGTAGAGGGTATGCCTGTGTTTTTGCAGAGAACGCTGAACAGCTTATTTGGGTGCCAGAGTATGTTGTCTGGCTGCAGCATGGACCCGGATCCAAAGGGGGTGATTCTACCTTTCAAGAAGCTGATGCTCAGTCCTATGACAGTGATGCCTTGGAAACCAAGCCACAACCGCAACCCAGCCTTCCTGCAAGGAGGCTGAAGGCCAAGGGCAGTTAAATGACCTGTGTGCTTAGGAGTCCTCAGTCCTGTGATGGCGGCACACACCTGCCATCCCAATACTCAAAGACTGAGGCAGAAAGATTGAGAGTTCAAGGCCAGGCTGGGCAGGTGCATGACTTAAAAAGAATCTATCTCAAAATAAAAAGGCCTGGGAATGTGGGGGTGTAGGTCAGTATGAAGACCCTGGATTCGATCCTCAGCACTGGAAAACAATAGTTCTCAGGATCCCGTGGGCAGGAGAAGTTCTGTCCTTTCCCTCCTCTGCACCAGTTCTGCATCCCTGAAAAGTCAGCCTGGCTGCATCTGCATATACATGGCTCCTCTGGGATGGCAGGGTAGGGCTGCACGCTCTAGATACTGGCTCCGTCCTCAGACTCCTGACCTCACCCCTCTGAAGCCCATTCATTCTGTGAAAGTGAAGTGATGTCTCCTCCTGGACTTGTTTCTGAGGACTGAGTGGATTAAGACAGATAGAATAATTTTGAACAGCACCCCAAATACTCAACAATATACTTACTAAGGAATTCAGACGGTGGCCAGTTTCAGTCCTCGTGAGTGACAGCAACTGGAGGGAGGGAACTGGGCCTGTGACCTTCCCTGGTGTCAGCTATTTTCATTTTCAGGAATCATGTAACTGATGTGCTTCCAGTAAGTGATGTGCTGTGCACTAGTTTCCCTTCTTTGGTCAGTTGCGCAACCTTGCAGAGATTTTATAATCATAGAAGCTGGATACTTACCTGAAAATTAACAATTGATGTTCTTGGGGGACAGGATGTCATGTGAACAGCCTTCAGAGCTGTAGAAGAGGGAAGAGAAGAAGTGCACACCTTCTCTCTGCAGCCTCCAACACAGGCCTGCAGCATCTCCTGCCATGATGGCTCTGGCGATGTCACGGCCTCTAGACTTGGTCTCTCTTAGTCAATTCAACCATGAGTCCAGCTGAGTTTGTGATAAATATCTTTTACCTAACTAAATAACACATATCTCAATAAAAGCAGGAAACCTGGGGTGAATTATATCATAATGACTTTCCACCTCATAGGTACAAACTAAAAGGTTGTGAATTGCTAGAATGATGAAAGCTCTTAGATATGATGGCCCACACCTTCTGCTATCTTTAGGTCTCTGGAGTGAATGTTAATGTCTTTTTCCCCAATGTCTTTTAAACAGAAAAGGCAAATAAGCCCACTATGTATCAGAGCACTGTGACTTTTACCCCTGCTGAGAAAGGAAAAGTACAATTCTGAAAGGCAAGCACAAGATGCATTTCTACCTCTAGAGGGCACTGCTGTTTTCACAAAACAAGGGCGTTTTCCGGGTTGGCTGTGGGTTGCTGTTATTTCCCTGTTCTTGTTGCCTTTGAGTCCTTCTGCAGACCAGCCCTAATGAGGCCTCCATTTAACCCCAGAGAATTTGAAACATGAGGCATGTTGCTTACAACGTTCATCTCCTCCTTTAAAAAAAGTAACAGTAACAACAAAATCCTGCCAGCTGTCTATCACTGTTGCAGTTGTCTCTCTCTCTTCATAGTGAAGGGACTCCTGGGAAGAGCAGTTGACTCTCCTGCTCACCATTCCAGCTCCCTGCCTCAGTGGCGGACACTGTTGGGGTCTTGCATGTGATCAACCCCGAATAGAGAAGACAACTTGACCGCTTTCTGAGACATTTCATCTTTTTTTTTATTTAAGAGGAAAAAGAGAAAAACACAAAACAAAACAAAGCGGTGTAAGGGTACACGTAATACAGAACTACAAAAAAAAAAAAAAAAAAAAAAACATAACAGTAAGAAATCACCTGTTAATAGGTTACATATTATCATCTTGAAAATAGTTGCTCAAATCACAGTATCAAAGAATACAAAGTGGACATTCAAACAGGGAGACTGCAAAGAGCTGTGTTCAATGATCCAAAAACATTAATATAGTCAGCTATTTAACACCCCTAAACACACTTGCTGTTATATCCGTTAGAGCTCTTTTTTTTCCCCTCTCTTTTTTACAACAAAATTTACACATTTTGGATCTTATTACTCCTTAGT